CAGAGGCAAGCCCCCCTCGCCGGGTAGCCGCACACCTGAGTGGGTCCCCTGAACAGGGAGGGAGAGCCCTTCCGTGTGCCTGGCCTAGGGCCACCTGGCAGTGTGGGTGAAGGTTTGACTTGGGGAACGGTTAAACTCTCGTGGGAAGTGACTGGATGTTGAGAAACGGTAACGGTCGTCTCAGCGAAGACAAGTACGCCACGATCCCGCTGGGCCCCCGGCTCCGGGCTGTCCGGGGGACACAGTCCCGCTCTCGCCCAGGCTGTGGCCGCACCCAGGGAGGAGTCAGGTTCTGAGGGAGGAGGGCGTGGTGGGGCTGGTGTGGGGCGCTTCTCCTGGGGGCTGCACACAAGCTGAGACCCCGACGGGGGACGCATCCCCAGGCCGACTGCAGAGAGGCCCCGAGGTGGGTGTTGGGGGAGAGGCGGCCAGGCCTGGACGGGCTCGGTGCAGGGTCCGAACTTACCCAGAAGGGAAGGACGACTCTGCTTCTCCAGTGAGTGGACGGGAGGAGGCCAGGCCGGACACAGGACGGCACGGGGCCGCGGCAGGGGAGCAGAAGCTGCTTCCAGAGCTCCTCAGGGCCTGCGCCCTCAGAACATGGTGGTACAGCGGGAGGAGGACAGGCTCGGTGGTTCCAGGGTCTGGCTTGGCCCCCGGCTGGGTCGGTGGTTCCTGGTGAGGGAGCGTCGAGGGGCAGATGGTGTTCCCTTTTCCCCAGAAAAGGGTTGGTTTGCAGTTGGCTGCCATGCAGGTGGTTGAATTTAGAGAGCGCGTGGTCACCCAGGAAGAACAGGAGAGAAGATGTAGGCCAGAACCCCAGGGGTATTTATAGGGCTGGTGGAGGGGAAGGCTGCAGAGGAGGAGGGGAAGGCGGGCCGGGGCCAGGAGGGGAAGCAGAGCCGGCGAGGGTTTTGAGGTGGAGAGCCAGACAGAGAGTGGTCCTTTAGACCTGCACCGCGGCTGTGAGTGAGCTTGGCAAGTGCGATGTCGGTGGCCGGAGAGCACAGGTGGATTGCTCAGTTAGGCCTGGGACGCTTCCGGAGCCCCAGGAGGAGAAAGCCCAGCAGTGCGAGCGCGGCCCCGGCCCAGGGCGCGGCGGGGCGCGGCCTCACCTGCAGCTCAGCCTCGTCATGAGTCCGCTGGCCTGGATCCAGGTGCATTCTGGCGTGAGCCTGTTCTCTTCTTGTCTCAGTGTTCAGGGAAACCCAGATGCCCCTTTCTGATGCCACATCCAGATTCTTGTTATCAATTGTTCCACAGTCTGAGGGAGTGCAATGACATCGGGTGACGTACATGGACTGAGGTCTTGGGGACCTGCAGGGCCTCATGTCCTGTCTGCTGTCTGCTCCGTCAGGCAGGACACTGCCTCACTGCCTCACTGCCCACCGCGGTCCCCTGGGTGCTCTTAAAGCTGTCAGCCCCCAGCCTTCTTCCCATCCTTCGGATCATACTAGAATTTCCAGTGGTGGAGTCCATGCATCAGTGCCTCTTAGATTTCCCAGGTGACTTGGGGACAGCCAGGACTGGTGGCCAGCGTGGTGGAGGTGTTCGAGGGACCGAAGTGCAGTGGTGAGCAAGGCTGCCATGGTCTCCGACCTTCAGAGCCCGTGGTCTGGTGGGAGAGACATAGACTTAAGAACGGCATAGTGTCTTCTCGTCACGTGAGTGACCGTAACAAGCACTAGGCCGCGTGGCGTACAGAGCCCTGCCCCTGCCTGTGTAGCCAGAGAGGCCTGGGGGGCTTCCTAGAGGAGGCGATGTTCCCGCTGAGTCTAGCTGAGGAGTGTCAGGTGTCCAGATGGAGAGTCAAGAGACGTGGTCCAGACCCCACTGGGTGCTCAGTGAGTGCCTCCCACCCACACCGCTCCCCTGAAGGGGCTGGTGCTCGTGGTGGCAAGATCCGAGGTCCATCAGGGGCCCCCTACGTAGGCTTACAGGAAACAGTTGACTGGGTAGTTTGGTTTTGAAAATATTTGAATTTCTGGAAAGTGTGTGTAATTTATGGAGACAACATATAGGCCATTTGAAACTGGAGAAGTTCCAGGAAATTTCACTTATCTTACTGTCACATCCACACCTGGAGGATCTGATAACCAGTGTTCCGTTGTTAAAGGTCTGACTCTTTCTTGGAGGAGAGTGGAGGCACACTTTACCTGGTGGATTCCTCCTCTGGCACCTTGATGTCATGTGTGCATCCAAGGCTGCTGAGCACCAGTGTTCTGGGGAAAAGACGCTCGCGGCTGTGCGGTCGGAGGCCTGCCTCTTCCCTCCCTCTGAGCAAGCTTGTTGCAGAAGTTGCTCCGGCTGTGAAGTAACTGGAGGAATGTGCGTTAAATGGATCCTTTGCCTAAAGTTACTTTCAGAAGTGGTCTTTTTCATTAGGAACTGAAAATAGTTTCTCCCTCTTTGAACGTACTCTACGAGATTCCATGAGAATACAATGCGAATCTCCTAAATCCACCAGCAGAGCTGCAGGTTACGGTCTGATCGTCCGCTGACGTTCGGCTCCCCTGTTGCCGGCCGCCTCGGCCACTCTGACTGGCATACCCACCCAGTCCTGATGAGGAGGGGGCCTCTTGATTGGAAGGTTGGTGTGTTACTTTGAGCTCACATCAGAAGGAGTGTGTATTACTGCATTTTGGAGAATTCCAGACGTGCTTAAAAGCACCAAGGGTGGTACCACAGCCTCACGTGCACCCGCCAGTTTCAGCCGTCTTGTTCACCCGTCCCCTCCTGTGTCCCACCGCCCTGAATTACCTGTGAAGCAGGTCGCAGCATTTTATCCATAATCATCTCAGTATGTGATTTCCAAAGACAAACATGCTTTCTGAAAACGGTAACCAGATACCATGGTCAACACCTAAAATGTTATCAGCACTTTCTTAGCACTGGCAGGTGTTCGCTGCTTGTCAGATTCAGGAGCAGTGTAGTGTCCCCAGTGTCCTGTCAAAGACACTGACACTAAGTGCACAGGAGACACAAGGCAGTGATGCTGGTGGAGGCGGCCCTTGTGTTTCCGGGAAGTCCTGCATAAAAAAGCCCCGTTTTTCTGGGATCGGTGCCAGCACAGACGCAGGAAACATCTGTACGCAGGGGCGGGGCGGACGGTCACGTCCTGGGAGCTCTGCGCTGGGTCTGCTCTGGTAGTGCCGCGGGGGCCGGGTGGCTAGTGCCTCCTGGGAGACACCGGGACACACAGCCCACCCTGCGCCCTCCACCGTGGAAGTTCTCTGCAGCCCAGAGGTGGTCTTTTGGTTTTTCTAAAGGGGGCAAAGATGGGGAAAAAACAATAAAGATGAACATTTTAAAAACTCATCTTGAAAGCACAAATGGTCTTGGAAGAGCCTGAGCTGATTCACCACGTGGCTTCTCTTCCCCGTGGGAAGCTACCACCTTAGAAGAGGTAGCTCTTAGAATTCATCTCTTAAAATTCCTGTGGAATGGGGCCAAAGTTAGACTAAGTCTTGAGGTTTCCTGCCAGGAACGCCTGTGGCTTAACCCCCTGCCGACATTCTCAACAGGGATCTTAAAGGTAGTCTTCAGAGGTGTTTTTTCCTTTGCTCTGAAAATGAATTTAGTTCTTAAAACAGGTGCTGGCTGCGACTCTAGCCCCGGGAGGAGTCCGTCTGCTCTCAGCTGCACTTCACAAGGCCTTCCTCCCAAAGGCCGCACGCAGCTGGAGGAGGTGCCTTTGCGTGTGGCTCGAGGTCCCTTGGAAAACTCAGAGGTGACGTGTGGCACCTGAAAAGCGCTCTGGACCTTCGCAGGGCGGCTCTTGGAGAGTATTAGGAATAGACGCTGAGCCGAGCACCTGCTTTCAGTTGCTTCCGAGATTGAGCAGATTATGAGAGTAATTACTTGCTGAAAGAAAATGTTTATCCAACGGCCTTACGATATAGAAAGGCTGTGTTTTCAACTCAAGCCTGTAAATTGTGTTTTAAATCTATGTACCGTTTGGTGAATTTACACAATATAGCCTAAGTATATTTTTTCTTGATGTATAAACAAGGCAGCTGTGACCTTTTCTGTAGATAACAGTGGGGGTAACACGTAGCTAACTATGCTCCCACAGTGTGGGGCCAGCTGGCTCCGGGGCCCAGAGTAGGTCCTGGCCTCCCCGAGGAAACCAGCGGCAGACTCGCTGAGTTTTCTGCAGAACCACACACATTTTCTGTGTTCAAAGGGCAGTGAATATGTTGTTATACGCGTATTTAATATTTTACTAAAATTTATAATGAGATCATACACTCGGAATGTTCTTTTATCAAGTTTATTTTCTGGAGATTTAGAACAGTTTTTCCCCTGAGTGTTTATCTGCCAGCATGAGCGCGTGACGATAGGAGCTGATCTAAGCAGAAGAAAGGGCGTGGCTGGCACCGCAGGAGCAGGAGGGCGGTGGCCGGGTGTCCCCACCTCCCCCGTCCCTGCCGCTGGGTCCTCTGTCCTCTGGGCGGGGCGCGCCTGGCTTCCCCGCACGCTGCTCCTCCGGTCGACGTCAGACAGGCAGCACCTCCGAGTACTCGCGGTGCGCTGCTCACTTGCTTTGAGGTGTGTCGGCCGAAAGCTCGCACAGAAGACAGGAACAGTGCGTGTTTAGAGAACCGGAAAGGGCCGCCTCCTTCATCAGAACCTTCGGAGGAACATTTTCAATTGAAGCGCGCTCTCCTGGCACCTTCTGCGATAAGCGTTCACATAAATTGTAGGGTTTTATGTAGATGTTTAATGTGGCACGGAGTCGGGCACGCTTGCGTGTGCTTTTAAAGCATGTCAGGAACCTGGGGTCTGCCTGTCTCCTGGTGCTGCAGCTGACAGCAGTAGTGACTGCAGACTTCAGCAGAGAGCGTCGTGAATCACTAAAGCTTTCACGTGCAAACTCCTTGACGTAGAAAAAAAAATTATAAAAACATTATTTCTTCACGTTTGCATTTTCTTACCTCTGTCATTTTTCTTCCTGTTTTAAAACGCTGCATTGTGTTAAGTCTTAGGTTCAGTGTTTCCCAGAGTAGAAGTGCGTGCAAATAAAGCGTTCAGCCCCGCGGCTGGGACACAGCCGGCGTCTGTGGGATTCTGTTCCGCTGAGAGCTCTGTTCGGACGGTCTAGTGTCTGTTTCTGCGGTAGGGTTCGTGTGGGTGCTGGGGAGAGCCCTCGAGAGCATCCCCTCCATGGCACTGTGCACTGTGTTTTGTTTGTGCCTTTATTTTCTGCCTCCACCACCAAGAGCAGGCCCTTGCCCGTTACCCGTCACCTTATTCCTGGCGCGTGGAGGGGTTCGGGAAGACCCGTCTATGTTACTGAATAACTGACATTGTCAGTGGCATAAAATTATTTTTTAAATGGGTTTCACCTTTTGCATCTGGAGACAAAATCTATAAGCTTCTAATGTGCTAACAAGTTGTAAAACAGGAATCGAGTTCTTATTGGACACTTTAGTGTCAGTCACTTGGTCTATTTTGTGGGCGTTATTTGCAGAAGCTCCAGTGGCTGTGGACAGAGATGTAATAGTTGGTCCTTTGCCCCAAGCAGGTCGAATTCTCATTGAAACCGCCAACGAGCAGCAGGCAGCAGGCAGCAGGCCAGCTAAGCTGTGTTCTTTCTCCCTGAGGTCGGAGGGCAGAGGGGGCAGGTGGCCCTGGAGCAGCAGGGAGGGCCTCGGGGAAGCTGAGGTGCGAGTTTTAAGGCTGGTGTTTACGGGGGTCGGAGGGGGGATGCGGCGAGCAGGAAGTGGGGGGCAGGGGGCGGGAACCATGTTGTCGCTGTGTCCTCTGCGCATGGCTGCTCTGCCGTCCGAGTGTACTGAGTGCAGGTGTGGAGATCTTGGGAGCTCTGCTGCAGAGCTCAGCGTGCTGGTCCTGGCGCCTCTGCCGCTGACAAGGCCAGTGCTGCCCGTAAGGCCAGCGTCTCACTGACTGGGTTAGCAGCGTGGGGTTCCAGTCCTGGTGGCTCTGCAGAACCCTTTTAGAAAAAGTGTCTCCTGTTCTTAGACAGTTTGGGCTGGAATTCTGAGGGTTTTCAGGAAGCCTTCTGAGGCGAGAATCGAAAAAGCAGATGTCAGTACTGTTAATCCTGAGCAGTGAAGAGAGTTTCTTGACAGTAGGGAAATGCTAGGCTTCTGGAATATTAACATTTTGGGGTGAAAAGGACCCAAACTAGGTGGCTGACATCAGGAGTAGAAATAGGGAATCAAACCCCACATCCCAGGGAAGGAAATCACGGCGCTTGGAGATTTAACTTTTTAAGGGAGAAGTCAGGGATGTAAGTCTGCTAACCAGAGAGAGTCAGAGCTCCGTAACCTCCTTTCCAGGTGCCAAGCTGCTTTTCAGAAGATGATTTTTCATCCTGATTTTTACGTTTATAGAATCCCCTCCCCCAGTTTTGCTGAACATTCATTCTGAAGTGACTTGAAAGTTCCCTGCACGGTTTGTCTGTCTGTGAAGCCAGAGTGACCAGTTGAGCCCCCTAAGTCTGTCATGGTGGGGATGACTTGCAAAAGCTAGTCAGAGAATATTCCTGATTTTACTTTGGTAAATGCCTGATTTAAAGGACTAGGACAGTTGAGCAAGAAATAACTCAGAGAAGCAGCGCAGTAAGTCACCGCATGGGCTTCTGTGCAGAAGCTAGAAACGGCGCCTCTCTCTTCCAGGGTCGCCAGGCCTGCACGGCGCCGCGCTGGAGCTGGACGGGGACTCGCGGCCCTCCGTGCTGGGCCACCTGGGCCAGACGGCGTCGCTGAAGCGAGGCAGCAGCTCTCAGCCGGGTCGCGATGACAGTAAGTGTCCCCCTCTCTTCTCTGAGGTCTGTCCTCCAGCAGGTGCTAGCGCTTCCTCCTGGAAATGCCCGCCAGCAGCCGAGTCGCTGCTGCCGGGCATGACCCACCGCCACGTCTCCTGCTCACTCAGCAGCCACCTGGTAATGAAGTTTAAATGGTTAAGTGCATATTATGTTGTACATTAAGGAAGTGCCATTAAAAAAAAAATCACTGGGCACAGGTCAGTGTTTACTCAACATATTTGGTTGAAGTCTAGTCTTATTTTTTCTGCAGTTGAATTTTTTTTAACGTGCTACAGAAAAAGTTTCCTGAGAACTCCTTTAGGGTGAAAGTTGTAACAGAAGTTAATTTGTGTAGTCAGTACAGAAGACTAGTAGGCGCCTTTTTAGTGAATTTTAGAATTTGGTTTGGAAAGAAAGGTTGGTTGTTCATTAATCAGAAATTAATTGCTAGTCATTTTCCTGAGCTGGAGCAGCTCAGGTGTAGTCGCCGCGCTTCCTAACCTTTCTGAGGCTGCCCTTCATCTGCTGTGTGCATCCTCCCTGCGCGAGACACAGGAGGCGTCGGCTGTGACACGTCAGTGTTCTGGCTGGGTGCTGCAGGCCACCGGGCCCTGTGACGTCAGTAACACACCTGAGGAATGCAGACACAGTCAGGGAAATACCTCACTTCGTGTTCAGTTTATTTCGCCACACTTCACGTTACTCTTTTAAGTACTGGAGTAGCGATCTTCCCCTAGGTTGCATGGATACCTGTGAATAAATGTCCCTCATAAGCACGGCTTAAAGTCAGATGCCTCATGTGTGCTCGGTGGGGGGCTTTCGTAGCTGTCAGTCTTCCTTCTTCTCGTCTGTCCCCTTCTCCACCCAGCCCCCAGCGCCAGTCTCAGCGCCAGAAAGAGCAGAGCTGCTTGCTCCTGTCCATCGGGGAGCAGGGTCCAGACGCAGCCAGGGTCTGACCCTGCAGTGCAGCCCATCCGAGGCCCAGAAACAGGCTTCCTTCCTCTCACGAGTGGGGTGACACGGGAGGTGTGGAAGCCCCCCCGGCACCCCTCCCTGCCCGGTTCTGGAAGGCGTCATCACGTTTAGAGGATCGGGGGCTGTCATTGCGTCAGCTGTTTTTCTGCTGCACATCCTCTCCTGGAACCCCAGCTGCGTGTGTGTGAGGCAGACTGCCCCGCAGACGAAGAACTGCTCCCCGCCCGCGTTTTTTCACTCCCTGATGCGCTGTGGAGTTAATTGCCAAGACTTCAGCTTCTCTGGTCTTGTGTCTGCCGTGTCTGAGCCAAAGGTCTCAGATACGTTATTTTCCACCTCGAAGTTCCGTTTGGTTCTTTCACCTGTCTTCACTTCCTCTCATTGTTTGCATGGTTTCCTTCGCTTGAACGCTGTCCTTTCGGGTTGACGCTAACCTGGCACTGGTGGGTCTGTTGCTCCTGACAGACTTTCTCCCTGATCCCAGCTCGCGGGTCTCCTTCCCCGCCCTTGGCTCAGCGGGTCGTGTTCTGTTGCGCAGACGCTGTGCTGAGTGTCGGGTTTGCCGCTTTCCTCCGAAGAGGGCAGGGCTTGCTTCCCCAGTTACTTGCGGGGAGTTTGGTTCGTCTGGGGCCTTGGCGGAGCAGCTGGAGCCTGGAGCCCTGCTCCTGAGTGTCCCGGGCGGTGGCTGAGGAGGACAGGCCCTCTGCTGCCCGGCCGCCTCTGTGCCAGGTCCTGGGGCTTTTCCCCACGCGGTTCCTCCTCCTTTCCAGAACTCTCCCGGCAGCGTCCGCTCACCCCCCTCCTTGAACTCCTTCTTGCAACTCAGAGAGCTTTGCGTGGGCCGCTCTCCGCAGGCAGAACCCGGAGCGCGTTTCCCTCGTGGGGGACGCGGTCCTGTGCTGCCGCATGTCCAGCGTCTGTGTGTTTTCCCCCGTCTTCGGGCTGTTCGGGGCTGGAGGTTCAGGGCAGTAAGTCAGGTTCAGCCCCTCTGAGGTGATGATTGGAGCCTGGAGCAGCACGAGGGGCGCTTGCAGAGCAGCAGGGGTGAGAAACGCTGAGGGAGCTCGGTGACTTTGTGACCAAAGCAGAGCTCTGTGATCCGGAGATAGCCTGCGTCCTGATTGCTGCTGAGCTGTGTTGGACATCCCTGCCCGGTCCCCTGGTTCTTCCCACGGGCCCTGGGAGGTGCCTCCCGGAGGCGCTCTGTCCGTGACAGAGCAGGTGGGAACTGACTGGGACACGCTGGAGTCAGAAGAGAAAGTGCAGAGTCGTCTGGAGTTACACTGATCAGAGCTGGGTGTCGTAGACTTAGAACGGGGAGGTTCAGAAGGGCTGGAGGAGAGGACTCGTTCCACGCGCACACACGTAGGTGTAAGGCATCTGCTGGTGACAGAAAGTTCAGACTGGAACCTGAAACTCAGAAGTGCTCTCTGTCCCTGTGCAGGAGCTGCAGGCGCCGTGTTCCGGGGGCCGCAATGACTGAGTGCCTGCAGCTCCACCTGGCCGCCCTGCGAGGCGGGTGGGGGTGGTGGGATGCGGGCGGCGGGTGGGCCCCTCGCTCACACTCTGCATGTTTTCTTCTGACCATATATTGTCTGCTGAGAAAACTATTAAACCTTTTGAAGTAAGTAAAATCCCCCCCCCCACTAGAACATCAAGAAGAGTAATAGTAACAAAGCTTTGGCTTCGGTGTGCTCGAAGGGAAGCCAGCCGGTGCTGACGCAGGGAGGTGGGTCCCGCCCTGACCTGGCCTGGGTGCCGGCAGGCCGTGGGGGCCAGGAAGCCGGCGCGGAGGGAGGAGTAGCCCAGAGGACGGAGAGGCTGGGGGTGCTTAAGCCCCGGCTTCACCGTGCACCCTCACTCCCGTGGATGGGACGTCTACAGGCTTCTCTTCCCACTTCCCGCGGGAGCTGCGTTTAACCACATGTATCCCAGGAGGCGAAGTGTGTTATTTTTTCTTAGATCTCTTTGTCGTGGGAGGAGGTTTTCATGACATGACTGTGCTTGAATGTGCTTCTGTGTGATAATTCGATTTCTTACGGAATTCCCAGCGTGTGGGGTGGGTGGTGCGTTTCTGATGGGTTGCTCTCGGCCTCAAGGTTGGCTACTGGCCATGGGGCAGCCTGTAGCCTGGCTTCTTGAGGAGAAAAACAGCAGCGTGGGGACAGCGAGGTTGGGAAGCCCCTGCCCATGGGATCGCAGCCCCTGCTTCCTGGGCACCCTCCAGGCCCTCCGCGCTGGCCGTGGGGGCGGACGGGGGGCGAGCTCTAGGCGGGGAGCAGCAGGCTGCTGCGGCAGATGATGGTTCTCGACTTGGCGTCGCTAATAGTGCTTTACTCTTCCCCGCAGCGTGGAGGGACAGGACCCCGCACCGGGTGGCCTTTGTTGAAAAACTGACCAAGCTTGTCTTGAGTCAGCTGCCCAACTTCTGGAAGCTCTGGGTCTCCTACGTCACCGGAAGTCTCTTCAGCGAGGTGCGTGTGCAGACGCGACTGTCCGTGTGGCTGGGCCGGTGTCGATTTCTGGTCTCACAGGTTTTGATTTTGAAGTGACTTTTTTAAAACCTCAGAGGCCCAAAGCCCCTGAGTGTTATCAGATACTCTAAGTTGAGTTGGAAGCACTGTGGAGCCCCAACACTTAGCAGCTGTGCGGCCTTGAACAAGTATTAGCTGTTCTGGGACTCGGTACCCTCGACTGGAAAGAGGACGCTGAGGGTGTCTCTCAAAAGGCAGGCATGAGGACTCGGCGAGAGAATAAAAGATCCTGAATTTGGGATAATGCCTGTCAGGCCAAAGTGTGGCTGACGCTGCTGTGCGCTGCCTGCGAGCAGGACAGACATCACGCCTGCTCGCGGGGCTGAGTGCTGTGGGGCCTCCCCCTTGGAGAGAAGCTGGAGGTCCTGCTCTCCTGCCCGCATGGGGCAGCCTGGGCAGTTGTTAGACGCCTTTGCCTTTCCACAGCCTGCACGCTTCCTCGCCGCCCTAATCCTCCTTAGTTGGTAGTGGACAAACCGTGAACGTCAAATGATGACTGGCTTTCGTGTGTGGCACGTGGGGTGGTCTCTGGTGCCCTGACAGGCCCCCAGTCCTGGAACGCGGACTCTCAGGCCCTTCGCCTGGAGCTGCCGGGGATCCCGCCGGATGTCGCGGACGTGGAGACTCCCACTGACCAGGGCTGGGAGGTGGGGTCCTCCCGGGGCCACTGCGTCTGGCAGCTCAGAGCTGCGTTTGCCCTTTCACCAGTGACACCTCTGCCATTCAGGACCCCTCTTCCTTGACAGAAAGTGGTAGGTGCTGGCGCTCAGGCCCCATCCGGTCTCCTTGGCCCTGGGCGTGTGTTCGTGCTGCTATGAGAGGAGTTTCCACCGTCTCTTTTCCGCTATGCCTGGGAGACCCTAGATGTTTGTTTGAACACAAGGTTGGGTATCTGAACGACAGAATTTGCTTGGTCCATGAAGAACAGGACAACAACAGCGCGTGACAAACAAAGTCCTTCGTGCGGAAGAGTCTGCCTCTTCAGCCGGAGTTCACTGTATTTTTTTCTTCCCTTAAGTTCAGCCATGTCGATCACTGATATGTTCAAGTATCGTAGCTGCAAACGGCGTGCATCACAGCTCTTTTCTGTCCACTGCGCATCACCTGGTGATGAAGGGCGCTGTCGGAAGAGAACTGTGCGGACACTCCGCCTTCCGCAAGACACGTGAGGGCTTGGCCAGCCCTGCGGGGCGTGCAGGGTGCTGGCCGAGGACAGGCACTCTCACGTCTGTTGTCGGGTGTCCTGCTCTCAGACGTGCCCAGCAACCCCTGGCTTTGTTCATCTCAGTGGACGACAGGCAGCCCCTGGTGTGGAAGGGCTGGGTTTCTTGCCTCTGATCCTGTGGGGACAGCCCCCCCCCCACTGCGGCGCCGTACCCATGCCATCTGCTCCCTCCAACCCAGACCTCTGGAGGCGGTGGGGGGATGCTTGGGACAGCCAGTGTCACAGCAGAAGCGTCCAGCGGGGCCTCCAGCGGAAGAGCTGCCTGTCTGCCCGCCCCCCGGCGGCCTGGGGGCAAGTGGGCTGAAGTCACAGTGTCTGGCAGGCAGGTGGGAATGTGCCCTGATTGTTTGGCATGGTTACTTGTCCCAGTGTCTGAAAGGTCCTTGGCCTGGCACATGGCAGGTGTTTTGTGAACAGTTTGGTAGCATGGAGAGACCCAGGCCTGGCGCTAAGCCGCGTCGGGGGTCACGTCTAAGGCCCTTGGGAAGCAGATTTTGAACCTAGTTTTGTTTCCAGCCAGTGTCTTTCCTTCCAGGCAGATCGGTTCCGGGAGGTGGCCACCACACGGGGACAGCAGCGGCCTCATCTTGAGTCTTTCCAGGGTTCATAAAATCCCTGAGGGTTACTGATCTGGGATATGTTAGTGAAAAAAGAATGTTTTCCTTCATTACAGGTCATACCTACTCGTGGTAGACAAGTAAGGGAAGCATTTGGCTGCAGATGAAACATAAGTGAGCTCCTTCAGGGCTCGGGGCCGCAGTGGCACCAGACAGGCTGGATATGCCTTTGGAATTCCCACCTGTTTGTGTCCATGAGCTTTTCCTGAAAGTTGAGAGTGACAGTTACTGAGTGTAACTCACCCCACAGATTTGGGCGTGTTTCTAAACTGGCTCCCCGCTCCTGAGAAGCTGGGAAGGGTGCGGTCCAGAGACTTGGTGAGGGCCACACCCGGGCTGTTCCAGGGACTTGGGTGGCTGGTCCTTAACCTCAGACGAGAGAGCTCCGTAATGTTTAAACACAATATATGTGCAACTTTTCATTTTTCTTGTTATGAAATATTGTTTTATTTAGAGTTCATCTGTTGAAAGATTTGGATGGCGTTTTCAACAGTTTGAAAGTAGTCAGTTCTTCAGACCAGTCAGGGCCACGGGAAGTAACACGTGTGAGTCCAGACGGTGAGGTCTGGCCGCTGGTCCCACTCGGAGTAGCTTTGGTCTCTGTGTTCAGCACGGGGCTGAGGTTCGCAGCTAGGGGAATGGCCAGCAGGGGTTAAGACCACTCCTTTAGATGTATCTTAAATATAGTGTATTTTGAAGTGAAAACTTTAAAATATCCAAATAATTTTTAAACATGAGGAATCCACGGTTTAAGACGTATAATGTATAGTATGTAAATTTAAATGTACTTTATGTTCCAAAACTGATTTTTCTTTTAAAAATAGGGCCAGCCTTACATAGTCCAGCATGTTGGAGATGCTCGGCTCGTCACCAAATTAAAGCAATAAGTAGCCACTTTTTAACGGGGGCAGGGGCACGCCTTGCCCCGGTTCCCCCGCCCCACTCTTCCCCGGGCTGGGAGGCCGGTCCTGGGAGGGTGGAGACGGCTGTGCCCAGTAGGTGTCGCTGTGCCCTCAGCAGCATCTGTTTGGTGGGCAGAATTGTTCTGCCAAGTTTCACCTTAATTTTGGTATGAGGTTTTTGACAGTTGATTCTCACTGTTTTCTTTGATTCAGAAATGTTTCACGGAACAAGCCCGCTGTGTAGAAAGTTCCACAGTGGCTCCCGTGGCAGATACGGCCAGGAGAGACCCCTCTGGCCGTCAGGGCACTCAAGGGTTGTGCTGTCCTGACCCCAGGGGACAGAATGCGCCCGCAGTCAGGGTCAGCGATCAGTCGAACCCGTGTGGGGAAGCCGCCGAAAACCCCAGCAGGACGCGTGGGGACCGGGGTGAGAGTGTGGGTGCTCGCCCCTGTCCCCACACCTGCCCTGTGCCTCCCTCCATCTGGCTATTCCTCAGTCACATCCTTTTACGATAAACCAGTGATCTAGTGAGTAAAGTATCTTTCTGCGTTCTGGGAGCCACTCTAGCAAATTGACTGAACCCAAAGTGGGGGAGGGTCGCGGGAGCCTCCAGTCTGTCGCCGGTTGGTCAGACGCGCCGGTGACAACTGGGCTTGCGATTGGCATTGGGGTGGGGGCGCCCTGTGGGGCCAAGCCCAAACCTGTTGGGTCGGACACCGTCACTGGGGGGGCGGTGGGAACACCCTGCCTCCCGCACCCCTATGTTGGACTTGGGTGCAGAATCCAAAACAGGAAGGCATTCAGAATGATACTTGAAGCCCTGAGATAGATTAGTGACAGAGTAAAGAGGAAAAGCGCCTACGATCGAGACCCGACGGCTGTCCGCCTGCTCTGTAACTGGCCTGGTCCCCAGCGCGTGGTGTCGCGTCTGAGCCTCACAGTCACTCTCTCAGGGCCACGCGGACGGTGGTCCCGGCTCCGCCTCCTGCCCGCCCTGCACACCTGCTGGAATCACACTCTGGGGCTGTTTACCCCGGGAGCCCCTGTGGCTCTTCCGTCCACCGGCTTTGGGCCAGAGCCCATCAAGCTCCCCTAGGCTGGCGTGGCATCCTCCTCCCTGGCCAGACCCCGGCAGGTGCCTCTGGTCACTTCTCACTGCAGCTCAGTTACTTCTCATCAGTCTCTGTAAATCCTGGTGTACGAGGAAGTTTCAGCGTTGTTGACCAGTGAAATTAGGAATTTGCTTATTGAATTATTATTGTGAGTTTTGGGTTAGTTTTTTCAAAAACTATAATTTTTTCAAAAGAGCATCTATACGAAGAAGTAAATGATATAAGCTGCACCGCTTAATATAAATCTTTGGAATAAGTGCAGATTAGCGCCTCCAGGTCTCTGTGTGCCGACCACGTGCCTGGGTGTCGGACACTCTGTTGGAAGCACTCAGTGGCCCTTATCCTTCCCTTCCTCGCTCATGCTTGCTGTTTCTCTAGCTTGGTGTGAAGTGCAAAGAACATAACTTGAAGTGTTTTAGAATTAGCTTGACGTCAGCGCCGTGCTCGTTTATAGCGCAGTTGTTCCTAACTTGGAAGTTCTCCGTAAATGGCAGCTGGTATGTCACATTGATGAAGCGTCAGAGCTTTCTTCTGCGTTGTGGCTTTCTGTTGTGCTTCCTTGGAAGGTGTCCTAAGCCTGCTTTTCTAGGCCGTTGTATATAGTGATACTTAGTTGTAATAAACCGTAACTGACAGCCAGGTGGACGGATCTCTCTTGGTCAGTGTCGAGTGGGCTCGCACACACTGCTCCAAGGAGAAAGGCGAGCAGGCTAGGGCACTGGAAGACACCCCCTCCTGAGTGAGGCTCTAAGCCCCCTGGAGGAAGGGCAGCGAAGGGCACTTTTTAAAAACAGGGTGCCGGCTCTGGGGCTTCCGTTCGTGACCCTTGTCGGGGGTGGGGTCCTAGGATGGCCAGACGCCCTCCAGGGGCTTCTCTTCCTGTCCCTCCTGCGGCAGCCCAGCGAGAAGGCGTGCCCGCAGGCATGCCCGCAGGCAGTTGTAGGTGAGAATGCCTGTGAAATTCACCTGCAAAAACGGGCAGCTCCAACTTCCAGCTGAGGTGTGTTTGGAAAGTACACTTACAGGTGTGAGGGAGACGAGCCGCTTCTCATCGGAGCAGGAACGGCTTTCTAGGCAGCCGTCCTTCGGTCGGAGACCAGGGTTCCTCTAGTCAGGTTGTAACCACTTCTCACGCTCTTTATTACGTACAACAGCTAAAGCGTTTCTTATTTTCATGCATGATTTCTTAAGACAACTAACGTGTTTTACTTTGTTTTATTTATTTATTTATTTATTTTTTTAATTTTTAAGACTGCTGAGAAGTCAGGCCACATTGAGAGATCGAAGAACGTAAGGCAGAGACAGAGCGATTTCAAGGTACGTTGCGTGTCGGCTTTTCTCGGGGTCGGCCTTCTCAGCCAGCGTCGCGGGGAGGCTGGATCTGCAGTCAGACTTCCGGCTTGTCGGCCGACCCTGCAGTCGGCTGACGGAGGTGGTGCCTTCACCGCTGTGCTGCCCGTCCGTTGTCTAGAAGATGACGCAGGAGGTGGTGCACTGCCTGGTGCGGCTGGCCCGTGGGGCCCTGCTCCCGCTCAGCGCCGCGGGGGCCGGCGGCCGGCAGCTCGGGGGCGGGGAGGCAAAGGCCGAGCTCTCGGGACAGTGGCTCGCTCACGCCATCCAGACCCTGCGGTAAGTGCGGGCTCCTTCTCCCGGGACCGGGTCAGTCCTGTGCTGTCTTGGGGGCGAGGGAAAAACATACTCAGGGTGGGATGTGGTTTTTAATACACTCGACGAAGAGTTTCCCCGTCCTGGCGCGCGCGCTGTTTCTCGCGTATCGTCTGACGACTAAGACGTAAGCCTTGCTGGCGCTGTCTCCTGACAGTGTCTCTGTGGTGCCATTGCCCTGCCGTGGTCTTCCATCCATGGGCGCTCAGCACGGTGCCGCCCTCCCTGAGTCGGGGGATCGCTGCCACGTCCCGCTCCGCCCCCGTTTGTTTTGTGGTGTTTGTCTCGCAGGCTGACGTACGAATCCTTGACCGCTCTCGAGATTCCTAACGAGCTGTTACAGGCGATCCAGGACCTCACTCTGGACCTCCGTGTGCGCTGCGTGGTGGTCACGCTGCAGCAGGCGGCCGAAGGTACGCTGAGGAAGCTGGCAGCTAAGCTGGGTGTACTTGGAAAGCCTTCACGGGTGTAAGAGCACCTTCATGTTCTTGTTAACGTAAAGTAGAAAAAGAATGCACAGTGTATATGAATGTGTTTAAAGTATGACACCAGTTTTGAAAATACATTTGTACGTTAGAAATACCTGTGTGAAAGCAGAGGAAAGACGAGCAGTTTCTCTTTGCAGCAGAAGCTGAGGTGACGCTTGTCTTCTCTGTGCGCGTTCGGCGCTTTCAGGATCTTGTGCAGTCGTAAGCAGTAAAGGTTAGCTTCACGCAGCGGCCTTCTGGGGATTGAGTGTTTTCAAACACAGGCAGGACCGTTGTTCCCAACGGCACAGGCCCTCCTGTCTGGACCCAGGACTGTCGCGTAGGAGGGGCGGCGCCGACGGGCTGGGCAGCGTCCTGCCCTGGGGTTTGCACAGGTGGCGCCTCCCCTCCCAGTGAGAGCCGCGCTGTCGCTCCTGGGAGCGCGTGGGACTTAGCACGGCCCAGACTGTCCATCAGAGGTCTCTGGGGAAGTGTGCTCTGCGTCCTGTGTCGTACACGTGTCGGGAGTTGTTGAGTAAGTACTGAGTTGTCCACAGTTGTCACTGACTGAGCCTAGCCAGCACTCTCCAAATCGGGCCATGCAGTGGAAAATTTTATTTACATTAATATTCTGTTTAAAAAAATTCCATAATACACATTTAAGTCCTTGAGTCCACCAGAATTATATTCTGTCCCTGCTCTTGTACAACTTTTGCACAGACCTGTGTGCGACAGTTAAGAGCTGCAGCCTGTGTGGATCTTTCCGACGGTCGGTGAGACAGTGACAGTAAGGAGGCCCGTGTGCTTCTTTCCCTGTAGAAATAAAGCGGCTGCCGGAGAAGGAAGACTGGGTTGTTGACAGCGAAGGCCTGACTTCCCTAGTAAGTTTAAATTCTTTTCAGTGATTAATCATTAGTGTCTCTTATCTTCGAAATAATGACTTACTATGATAATGATGGCCGTTCGCTCTCTGCTGCAGTTCTAAATAGTTTCTGGAAATAGAAAAATAGACTTAAAATTTTCCTTCTCAGAGGCAGTTTTGCTTAACACTGACTACATGTTTAAAATTAATAAAAACAGTGGGTTTCCTTTAGCGTGATCTTTCTTCATCCTGTAACTCTTGTTATTTTTTGTTTGCACTACATTTTTTTAATGTAATTCTAAGTTACCTAGCAGCTTGAATTTGGGGTTCAGTGTGTGTGTGTGTGTGCTTGCATGTGATCCTTGCATGTCCGGGTCCAGTGTGTGTGTGTGTGAGAGATCCCTGCACGTCCGGGGCCTGGTCTACACTCGTGAGATAACAGCCACATCTGAGGTGGTTTGTTTGATTACATTAGATAAGCCCCTTCGAAAGTGCTTTGAAATGGTTACCGTTGAAACCTGTTGTGATCAGCCTAGAGTTCGCCTGTAGTGTGTAAGGAACTGTAACCAGAGTAGCTGATTTTCGTGGTTTGTCTCACACAAGCCAGGGGGCCAGACTGGCTGTGCCCTGTGGATGGTCTGGCGTCAGCCGGTGTGCCTGTCGTGGGCTGTCGTTGGAGACGTTCGCCAGCCCGTAGACCTGAGGGTCTGGGCGTCCTCTGAGTGGGGGCCCGGGAGACGCCGTGTCGGGGAGGGCGAGTCCCGGCTCAGGGTGTCGCCCGGCGCCCGCCGTCCGCCGTTGGCTGTTTCTGAAGTGCTCTGACCGAGCAGGGGCATCGCCCCACGGCTGTCAGTGCCCTGGCACACGTCTTAGCGTCTCCGTGCTGCGCGGCCCTGTTTGAAGGGGGAACACTTCTTTCCCCGTGGGTCCCTGTCAAGTCGCTGTGGCGCAGCTCGTCAGACAGCTTTCTTCTTGTGTCAACAGCGCTTCCTGCCTCTTTCCGTTTGGATCATTCTGAGCAAGGCTTTCTTTCAAGCGGTCAGAATGCTGTGTGGTAACTCCTCGGTCCGCTGACGTGCGTGACGCGCTGAGGACGTGCAGGTGGTGCCACCACTTCCTTTTCAGGAAAATGCGCAGCAGCTGCGTAGACTGACGTCCAGTCTCACTGGACGTGCCCGTGGGCTCTGCCCCGCATCGGCAGAGACGCTGCAGGAAGGCAGTCCGGCTCAGGTCCTAGCGCACAGAGCGTGGATGGCCATGCGTGAGCGTCGCGGTCCACTTTTACTTTTTCAGTGTCGTAGACTTTCCTGCTTCTGGGGTGGGCAGGCAGGGGCCCGAGGCGTCTGACAGGCCGCTGGCTACTGAGATACTCCCTGAGCAGGGCAGTGTCATCCTCAGCCGCTCCCACCCCCCCTTTTTTTGCACTGACACTTCAAAGTTTTTTTTTTTTTTTAGGGGGAAGTAAGTAGGTTTACTTATTTAGTTTTGGAGGAGGTACTGGGGATTGAACCCAGGACCTTGTGAATGCTGAGCGTGTGCTCCACCACTTGAGCTATGCCCTCCGCCCTTCACTGCTGAGTATTCTTTACGGGCCCTCTGCTGGCTCTTGAGTGCAGTATTAAAAGGACATCGAAGTCGGGGTGCTGTTTTAGCTTTCATTAAGCCCAGGTACCTTTTTGTAAGAAAGTAAACTTATCTTTTTGGGGGGGGTCGGTTTTGCATATAGGTGTCTTTTTTTTCTGTTTGATTTTTTTTTCCCTGAACTCTTTTAAAACTGGAACTGCCATATGACTCAGCAGTTCCACTCTGGAATATCTGGGAAAAAAAACAAAAAAACTAACTTGAAAAGATACATGCGCCCCAGTGTTCACAGCAGCATTACTTATGGTAGCCAAGACATGGAAGCAACCTAAGTGTCCATCCACAGATGACTGGGTAAAGAAGATGTGTGTGTGTGTCTCTCTCTCTCTGTCTCTCTCTCTCTCTCACACACACACACACACACACACACACACACACACACACAGAAGAATACTACTCAGCCATAAAAAAGAACAGCATGTTGCCATTGGTACCACATGGATGGACCTTGAGAGCGTTATCCTAAGTGAGATAATCAGAGAGACAAATACTGTATGTTCTCACTGACATGGCATCTTAAAAACACAACAAACTAGTGAACATAACGAAAAAGCAGCAGACACACAGGTAGAGAAGAAACTAGTGTTTCCCAGTGGGGAGAGGGCAGGGGCTGGGGGAGGTGCAGGGATTAATAGGCACAAACTATTAGGTGTAAAATAAGCTACAAGTGTACGTTGTGCAACACGGGGCGTGGAGCCAGTGTTCTGTAACTGAGTGGAAAGTAACCTGTAACACTTGCAAATCACTACATTGTGCGCCTAAAACTTACATTGTACGGCAACCATACTTCATCATGAGAGAAGAAAGAATCACGAGAAGGCAGGAGTGCACAGGAAAGGGTGCTGGCCGCAGGCTCTGCGCAGAGCGGTCACCAGCTCGAGCCTGGCCCCGCTCCGCGCCCCAGGGGCCCATCCCTGCAGGCCCTCTGCCGTCCAGGCCAGCCCACCCCACCTCCTGTCTCTCCCTCGGCGCTGATTCTGGTTCATTCTCCACTTATCTCTGCACTTTTTTTCAGTTAAAAGTGACGGGTTTGTTGACCCTGCCCTAGAACTCCACGTCTGTGCCCGGCGGGGGAGGCCTGCAGTTAGGGCCAATCAGACTTACCTCAGAGGCATTTGTTGGATGTGTTTTTAAGCTTCATTTTCAGACTTGATGTTTGTAGACTGTGGAGACTTTAGAGTGACCAGCCTCCCACAGTCACCATTCCTGACATCCATTGCGTTGATGGGCCAGAGGCGGGGAGGCCCGGGAGACAAGCCCGTCCCAGAGCATGCCCTGCAGGGGCCTCTGACACGAAACTCTGGATGTCTGTGCTTTATCCTGGCGTTTGCCTCCCAGAAGGGTAGACTTTTGAAGGTAAATTTCAGTTCTACCCAACTCCTGTTCTAGTTGAATTAGACGTGCTTTCAACTCTCAGGACTTCAAGTACATACGCGGAGCCTGCCAAGTCCAGAGCTCATGGCGAGGCTGTCTGTGTCTCGGGTCCTGTCCAGAATCTGGGAAGTGGGAGCCTGGGCCCTGTTGGCCTCTGCTGGTGTCTGCGTGCCCAGCACTTGCTCTGGTCTGTCTCCTGCAGCCCTGCCAGTTTGAGCGGTGCGTGGTGCACACCTTGCAGTCGCTGAGAGGGGTCCTGGAGTGCAAGCCCGGAGAAGCCAGCGTAAGTGCGGGGTCAGCCCCCCGGGGGCCTGGGCACCTCACGGGGCGCAGCTGCGGAGCTGCTGCCCGGCACGTCTCTCAGGCCACGGTCACCGGCGTGGACGCGCCGCCGTGACCTCCTCTCCACTCCCGTCCCCTCCAGAGTCTGGTTACCCGCTGGACGTGATTTTCCAGGGTTAAGTGTTTTGTATGGAACTTCATAAACAAACAGGTTTCTTAGCTAAGTACAGAACTTTCCACCAGAAGTCTTCCTTGCAGGTCTTCCAGGAGCCTAGGACCCAGGAGGAGGTCTGCCAGCTCAGCACCAACATCGTGCAGGTACTCTGGGGGGGGCCGGGCGCCCCGAGGCCCGCCGCAGCGCGGGTTAGTCCCTGCCTCGTCCCAGGGTGCCCCTCGGGTGCCGTGTTAGACGTGCGTTCGCTTCTCTTGAGTGCACGTGGTTTATGGTAAATAAGCGCGAGGCGAGAGTCCCAGCTTGCGCTCCTGTCTGCTCCGCTCCGCTCCGCCCTGCTGCGGCTCGTGGTGTCAGCACGGGTGCAGCGCCGTGACCGCTGCCTGCGCTGTCCTAGACCGTGGAGTTCTGGGGACCAGTGCCTTGGGCACACGAACAGGGTGAGCGAGCACGTGGGTGAGTGGGGGGAAGGAAGTACACTCAGGACCTCAGGGCTGTGTCAGAGCACAGGCACTTTAAACTGTCACGTAACGTGGCGTGTGCTGGGCTGTCTCCCCAGCTCTCACACACACGCAAGTGCCTCTGTGTGCGGGGCAGTCAGTACATACCACTGACAGGACGGACACTGTATTTCTGGTTGTTTGTACAGAATTGTCTTTAGTGTCCACATAGATGAGTGTCTGAGAGCTCATACCACTGAAACATCCTGCCTTTGACTTAGATTTTCATACACTGTCTGGAGCAGCTGAGCACCAAGCCCGACGCCGACGTGGACACCGCACAGTGAGTATGGCTGACGGCCGCGCTGGCGCTCTTCGTCCTCTGATCTTGTCTCGGCTCTGCTAGAGACGCATCGAGCAGACTGAGCACACAGCTTGCGAATCACCCAGAGGAGCAGGTTTTGTAAATAAAAACGTGGGAAATTAAACACATGTCTCCTGTCAGCCCTTCGGCGGCTCTGGCATCTGGGCGGCACCAGTGCTTGTTAAGGACTGACTGTGCCGGGGGCTTGCGTCCAGCTCCAGCCTGACACCCACAGACCTGGGTGACGGTGTTTCTACCAAGCTGTTCTCTGAGGGTTTCGGAAAATCTAGTGTTTCTGAGTGATGTTTGGCACGTGTGACTTCTGTGTACCTGAGGCTTATGCTCCGACACAGATGACACGGAAGTAAACCCCTCTGAGACCTGGGTGGGCAGCTGGGGCTTCTCTGTGTCTGCTTCCACGTTCACCTGCTCTTTGCCCCTCAGTATATGAGACCCTCGTCTGCCTGAGATGCTCTTCTGGTTTTAATTTGACTTCACATGTTTAACACATGAATTTATCAGAAATCTGTACTGTTGATCTGCTCCCCGATGTTTTTAAATTAAATAAGTCTTTCCCTCTTGTTTTGTTATAATTTCCGTTTCGCTCATTGAATTCTAATATATAGTGAAGGTATTTCTGAACTCTGCCGTCTGTTCATTCACATGTTTCCTATCAGTTTGTGTTGTTTTAGTTACATTAGTTTAATTACTATTAGTTCATTTTTCAGTGTTTTTCACATTGGATGTCCTTTTATTGTTTCTCTATTTTAAAATATCATTTGACATTTTCGCCTATTTAGTCTTCCGTGTGAATTCTGTAATCAGTTGTTTAGGCTTGAAGAGGGCAAATCCTGCTGCATTGTTGATTACGATTCAGCCAGATCTGCAGATGAATCAGTGGCTCAGTATTTCCTGCCCTGCAGTTTTGTGTGTCTGGTCACTTGTGGGTTATTAACTAATTTCCCAGCTCACCCGTACATCATCTGCTATAGTCCTGAGCTTGAAAAAGCTCCTCTGGATTCTGATGGGCAAAAGCATTTAAATTGGGAAAGTCTACACCTAGAAATTAAATTATTGGCATTGGGAAGACTTGGGGGCACATCTCACATGGCCCATGTTAATAGTCCATGGTGTCTACTTTGAGCTGTCAGTTGTCACTGTTAAAAAAACAAAGTTACATGATTTTTGACAAAAAGATTTTGAAGTCAGACTCGTCGTGTTTTATGCGGTGTCGCTGCTGGGCGACGTTGCGCACACACTCTCAGTCTCGGTGCTTTACCTGCGACTGTTCTCTCACGTGCTTCTTTACTCAGTCTTTCCACAGACGTTTCTTCTCCTGATTTGTTTGGAAGTATCCATGAAGATTTCACTTTGACTTCTGTAAGTGAGCTCGTAAATAATAAAGATGGTAAATGGAAAGTAAAACATGTCATTTTAAAACTATGTAATGACTGTTTCATAACTTGGTCTGAATTACTCTGTGGCCGCATTACTGCTGTAGCTCTATGCTTTTGAAGCCGTTTTATTTTGTGAAAATTTTAGTAAACGTATAATTTTGTATGGCTGCCACACTTTAAAACCTTTCAGCTTAAGTTGCGCCTTGTGTGGCTTCACCCCGTCTCTGCGTCCCGCGGTTTCTGCGTGTGATGCGGCCCTGTGGAGCCCTGGTGTGCGGACACTAGAGAGGAGGGAAGACAGGCACGCTGCCCACATTTTTCCTCTTTGAGCAGAGAAGCTCTGCTTTTCTCTGTTGGCTTGTAAGCTCCCTGGTAGCATTTTATCTGAACAATGTTCCATGGCAGAACCAAAACCAAAGCACCTGTTCTGTAAACACACGTACTTTTTAAACATACGCACGTATTTAGGGGTGATTCACACTTCCACTTTCTCACATGTGCAAAGTCAGCTGTTGACTCTGAGCCCCAGCTGTCTTAAAAAAGAAACAACCCTCTGGTTTGTCGTCGGTGTGAAGGGGGTGTGTGCGCGTGTGCGTGTGTTTGCGTGCGTGTGAGTGTGCGCGTGTGTGTACGTGCGCGCGCGCGTTTCAGGAAAGAAAACACGTGATCTGGATCTCCTGCTGTGTATCCTTCCCACAGTTACTGTAAGTATGACTTCCTACATGAGGGATTTGTTATATTAAGAGAAGTATGGTTTAATCAAACTAATTTATTAAAAAAACTACTCTGGGTTTAATTCCTTGGACGACTCGTTGGACAGTAGTCCTGTTTGTGGAGAGAACTCAGAAGAAAACAGGTTCTAAAGAAAGGCTGAAACTCAGTCTGGGGCCAGACGTGCTGAATGGGTGCTGTTCGGCGGGGAGTCGGTGGCTGACCCCTGGGAGAGAAGCCTAGAAGCAGACTTGTGACTCAGCGGTGCTGCGTGGGAAAAGGCCGGGAGTGGACGGGAGTCCAGGGGAAAACAGTTGAGGGAGAAGAGGGCCACACGTGTGAGCACGACATCGGGTGCCAGCACTTGGGGCTCATGTTGGCGTGCTGCTACTTAGGGGTGACACTGGGGTGTTGGCACTTAGGGACGATATTGAGATTCTAGGACTTAGAGATAATATCGGGGTGCCAGCACTTTGGATAATATTGGGGCAGTGGTACTTAGGGAAGGCCAGAAGCAGAAAGCTCGAGGCTCCCAGGCCAGGAAGACTCGGAGAGAGGAGCTCCAGATGGAGCACTTGGCTCCTGACGCAGGTGGGGAAATGCATTTAAACCAGTGCAGGCTCAGAGGGAAGGGCCCATGGACCTGGCCGTCCTCAGAGAGTGGGACAGCCAAGGGGCACCTGCCTGCACTGGGTCGCAGTGGTTCCTGCACTGTGAACGGGAACTGAGGAGAGAGCCTCTTGGCTGAGGGCGGCCTTGCTGCCTCTGAAGCCCTGAAGCTGTTTCTCAGCCTCTGGGACCTGCCTGGTTTCCTCACAAGGAGCTTCCCAGGGCTGGGGCACTGCCATGTGCTGACGCCAGGACCGTGGAGACGTTTCCTGGCCAGTGTGCTTGTGGGGGGTCGGTTCTCAGAGCACAGACCCCCCCCCAGAACCACAGCTCAGCTCTCCTGCTGATGGGCACCCAAACCCCGAAGTTCCACAGTTGCTCTTCTCTCTCCTTTCCATTCTCCTGAAGTTGTTCCAGACTTGGTATCAAGTTCAGTCCCTGTGTTTTCCCCGGTGGATTCTCCTTAGCCTCGGCCCAGATGACTGAAGCAGGGTCGTGCTCTGCTATCCCGTGGAGACAGTTCTGGGAAGAAGACTGGCGAGGGTTCTGGTTTGGTTTCCGGCCTGCTGCTGGCTAGCTGGTAGACCTCGGGCAGGCCCCTGGGGGCGCCGTGCCTGCGTCACAGAGACTGGAGAAGCTGGAGTAGGACGTGAGGCCAGCGTCCTCGATGCGGGTGCCCCTTGGGTGGGTTGAGTTGTTGTTCTCAAACGCGCTTGCTCGTGTAAGTTGTTCATCATTTTTTGATGAGTCATCTGAGTTTAAGAATTTTATTTGTGTGTTCAGTTTTTCTTCCCACTTTTATTCTGGTTGGTTCTGTTGCAGAGAAAAATACGCTTACTAAGAGTAAAATTTCAAATTACTTGACATAGTTTTTCCATTTTGGGGAAGAACCATTTAGATTACAAGAGTACCCATCGCCCAGAGTTAATGAGCACGGCTGGCTTGGGTGGGCGGCTGTGGGAGGCCAGGACTTGGAGGGCGGGTCCTGAAGGAAAGTCATTAGGGGTGATCGTGGAGCTGAGAGGCCTTTGGGATTTGTGCGACACAGCCAGCGTGGTGTCGTGGCGACTTCAGTTCAGGCCCTTCACACATGGTGGTGTCACCCGGCGTGGGCAGGAGTTGGCACCTCCTGGTCCGTCTCACGCGGTTTGAGCACAATGTGGAGGAGTTTACCTTGTTTAAGCGTCTGTTTCCCATCCATAGAGTCGTTCCAGTGTTGATAACCTTTCATTGCTTTGAAAACACCTTAATAATTTCTGGGCCTTTTAATTATGTTTGTTGATGACCACAAAATGCAGTGAATAGGCCACACTCTGCCAGAAATGAATTAAAAATGAAGTTTTAAATAAAGACATGGAGAGTTTTACACGTTGTGAAGGAACCAAGTGGAATTCTAGGGGTGATGGGGGTTTGGTGAGCGTAGCCTGTGGTCTGTGCACCTGCCGGGTTACTGACATTAGCCTGAGTTACCTGGATGAGCACAAAACAGCAGGCCGAGTGTGGGTGTGACCTTCTCCTGGAAAGAAGTTTTGCCTTAGTTTTTAGTCATGGGGTCTCAATCAAGGCCCTAAATTAGTCACAGTTGTTCCAGAGAAGCCCTCACCTGAGGGAGCAGGGCCAGTGCCATTCCTGGAACTTCGTGTTCCTGGAGCAGTTCTGAGCTGTAAGAGGATGCTTTATTCATCAGCTTTTGGGGTCTGGTAATTTTGGTACAAAGTTTCCTTAAGCAGCTGGAAGCCTGGGGTGTGTAGACTGGTCCCTTCGTGACCGCCTGTGGGGGGTTCGCTGGCCTCTGCCCCTCACTCCCCGTAAGAGGAGACTGTTTCGCAGAGGAACCTCTGTGAAGGCCCCGTTTTTTGAAGGAGCCCGTCTGGATAGCATTGTAGCTTTCTTGTAAGTTATGAAGAATGTAGAAATCAGTCTCTTGAGAGTTTGTACATTTTTTAAATTACTTTGGAATGTCAATTTTTATAGCTTCTTTGTTGTTGTTGCGAAGAGCAGCAGATAAAGTTAACAGTACGGTCGGCCCCTGTCCTAAGAGTAGTGCTGGCCTCCGCTCCGTTCACTGTGTGCCCGGACAGCCGTCACACGCCACAGGGACGTCGTTGGCTCGTGTGCTGCGTCCTAACGAGCAGTCAGTACAATGAAAGACCATGTTGTGTTTCTCTCTATTGGAAAAACGAAGCGTTGAGTGTGGATGTGAACACTGAGAGATTATAACTGATCAGTCTTACCTGTCTGTCCCCCACTGTGCTTCTATAAATGTAGTTTTCTGAGCGTTTGATTGGTTTTAGGAGCAGCGACTTTTGATCGTCCTCAGTAACTGCTGTTACCTGGAGCGTCACACCTTCCGAAACATCGCAGAACATTTTGAAAAGCACAACTTCCAGGGAATAGAAAAAATAACACAGGTAAGTGATCGAGTTAAACGGACATGTGGCTACGTCCCCGCCTAGCTTCCAGCCACGTTCCCAGCTACCTCCCTCCACGCCCCCTGCACCCCCTCTCTGAGTCGCTCGCTTCCTCTGGAGCCCCTGTGCTCCCCACCTGAGCTCTTCAGAGCCGAGGAGGCGGGAAGGAGAGAAAGGCAGCAAACCCGCGTATTCAGGAGTCACCTCTGACTCCTTCCAGCCAGGGCAGACCCTTCGCCCGCGGAGCTCCCGCTCCCTCCCTCCCTCCCATCCCGCGGCCCAGCACATGCAGAGGCGCTGGGCGCGCGCGCACACACGTACACACGTGTGCGCACACAGTCGTGTGCATGTACACACGTGTGCACACGGATACACGTGCACACAGACTGGCGTCCCGTGCTGCAGGTGTGCTGGGTCTCTCTGAAAGGTGCACAAGGGCTGGACAGAAGCAGGTCCTGTGTAAATCAGTGGAGGAGGGTTTTTTTAGATGTTACACTTTGTTGTTTATATTTTTCAAGTAAGCAGAAAAGAAAAAAAATGAAGTAATCTTGTTATTATTAAAGGTTGGTTGGTTCCTGGGCAAAGGTTTATCAGATTTCTAAGTAAAACTAAGCTAGAACCACTTTTTTAATGTCAGTACAGTTTTCTCAGAGCAAAGAATAAGAAAGATAGTGATCTTGTTAATCTTAGAATCAGAAAGCACTCTTGATGGATTGCACATGTTTCGTGGTGATGATTCTAGTTCATGAACTAGACTGGGATTTTTTTTTCAAAGACTGAAAATGTCAGAGTGGGTGGCTGTTTTTTGTTTTCCTGCCTTTTCGTAAAGATTAATCATCCTGATGAGAAATGCTGTGACTTCAGGCTGTAGGGCCAAATGTTGAGTGTATTTCCAGAAATTTTTGTGTGAAGAATTGCAAGGTGGTCTCTTGCAGTGAGAAGTTAGTGTTTGTAGAATGTGGGCACTTCGCTTTCATGCAGTAACAATAATGGCACTAATCTTTTATCACTTTGGGAGCAGATTAAATGATTAGGAATTGCATATTACATACAACAAGCAGTCAGTTTGGGTTTCTAGGTTTTTACTGAGTTGTAAGTGGGAGCTCTTCGTGGAATTCAGTTTGCGTCGTGAAGAAGCAGGCTGAAAGTGACGTGGAAGCGGGCTTTGCTGTCCGTTCCAGGCTCCTCCAGGCCGTGTGAGGTCACTGGGACGGGAGGGGCCGGGGCGGGCTGTTTCCAGGACGTAGAATTTGGAATTGAGTATTTTGAAGTCATCCCGCTGTGTATTAAAGGAATAGACAATAAACTAGATTTTGATGACGGTGTTTGTGCTGATACTGTTTTTTATGAGTGAATCCATCAATTTCTTGGTGACAGTCAAGTGAAGTTTATTTCTTGCATTGAGGTGGAGAGGCTGTCAGCCGCCACTGCTTTTCATAGTTCCTTTTCCAAAGGGCGGATGACATGACACTGGGGGCCGAGATCCCTTGAGTCTCAGGGCACGAGGCCCCCGCACGCCGCCTACCCCCGCTCTCGCCGCCCCTGCCCTCGGAGGGGAGGGCTCCCTGAGCTTCTCCGTAGCGTCGTCTGCTGCTCGGACCCCGAAGTTCTCTTGGGCCTCCTTCCAGCCGTGGTCGGGGCATTGCCAAGGGCTCTCCAGGCACCATTCCTTCTGCTTCCTGGTTGGTACTTCTGCCCAGAGAGACACGGACATGGCAGCCTTGTTTATTCCTTTTAGCTTGTTCTTTGTCTTCAACAGTAGAATTAATTTTAACACAGGAGCAGTACCCAGATACTCCTGCTTGTTAGGAGCTTATTGAAACTTAATGATCGCTCGTTGTTTAAAGCTAGAATGATTTTATATAGACAGTTTTATTTGCTGCAAATAACTCTGTGAAGTAATTAAGGAAACTGTTATTAACTCCATTTTTTTTTAAACAGAAATGTACTCAGAGAGGTTGACCTGTAAGTAGCAGGACTCAAAATTAAGTTTTCTTGCCCTAAATCCAGAACAATTTCTGGCCCAGGACCAGATCTTAAAGAACAAAATTGTTTCTGTGAAAATTTACCGAAGAAAAGGACGTGAGGCTGGTTGATGAACACGTGTCATGTTGGACTTCTGTGAAACAATGTGAAGTGGTGAACGTGACGTTTACTGGACCAGCTCCTGGGCCTGCTCTGCGGCAGGCCCCCGTGAGCCCCGACTGGGGCCGCTGGCAGCCCACGTGCCCTGGGGGTCTTCCATGCCGTGGCCGGCTCAAGTCTCAGAAGTGTTTTCTCCAGTCATGCGTTTATTTCCTAATTATAAAAGTAAGACCCAGTCATTACTTTTAGGAAAAAAATACTGAAAATTAAAAAAAATCTGAAGTTGTCCTCAGTAGCGAAGACCGCACGGCGGTCTCACGCCTGTGTGTGTGCCAGCTGGCACTGTGGCTCTGCCGTGTCCCCGTGTCTGCCCGTGCCCCGGAGGAGGTGATGCGTCTCTGAATCCAGCCTGCAGGGAGCGCTGGTCTGCTGTGAGCACTTTTCCAGGAGTTTTATGGCTTTATAATCTTTGTTAGTGTGGATGCACTTTTTTTTTTCCCACTTTTTTTCCTCCTGGCAGCCCTCAGCTTGCTTTGGTGGTTCTTGGTCGCGTTTCTTGCTTCCTCACGGTGGACTCCAGAGGCGCCTGGCGCGCTCTGTCAGGTCTCCTGTCGGGAGCTGGTCCCGTCACAGCTGGCCATCGTTGCTGACGAGCAGGTTTAACTCGATGGATGAAAATACTCTTTGATGGTATATTAATTTGCATACCTTTCCCTGCTGGGCAAGGAAACGCGTTTCCTTCTGTGCACGTCTGTTCTAGAGGAGTTCCTTCTAAAGGTGCTGAGAGGGTTAAGGAAACACAGCGTTCTGCATTTTAAGTATGCAAACCAGACTTGCCGCAAGTCATTAGTTCTTTGAGCCCTTTGAGAAGGGAAAACCAGAGCTCTGTGGTTAATAAACTTCAGCTCATAATTTTATCCCTGTGAGCTGTCCCTGCATAGTTCCAGGGACTTTTTCTGCATATGCAAAATGCTATTTCAGCCTGTCCCGGTCTTTTAAAAGCAGTTACCTAATTTAGGGTTTGGATAATCGAAGATTTTTGACTGACTGAAGCATGTAGTCATTAAACGAACAAGTCTGGCATTAAATTCTTGATTGAGGTTTTGTGTGAAGCCTCCAGTCTCTTTCAGATATTCCAATGTGGAGGTGGGACAAGGAGTGTTTTTTCAGTCTGTCCAGGGAGGGTCCTTGCAGCGATCGGGTCTGAACAGTCTGAGTCGCTCCTGAACTGCAGGTACCAAACTTTGCACGTCCTCTGTTCAGACCGCTGGCGTAGCGTGGGGTCAGCCCCCGCTGTGACTGGCTCAGTGTTGGCGCACTGCTCCCCTTGAAGGTGAGCTCTTTCCAGGTATTCCCGCGTGAAACGCGTTTTCCCTCCGAAGGAGCGGCTCTCGTGCCGCCCCTTCCCTGGGGTCACCTCTGCGCTTTGCAGTTCCTGAGTCCTGCGCTGTGGATCGTTACCTGTGTTTGAGCTTTAAATGTGGTGTGTGTTTTCCTCTGAACCCCCGTTCTCCTCGGTACTGCTTTTGAGGTTTACCCGTGTTGCTCCGTGCAGGTTATGCCAATTTGTAAAGTGAGTTAGACTGTCCCCTTTCTTCTTATTCTGAAAGAGTTTGTGTAAGAGTTGGAATTACTTGTTCTTTGGATATTAGAAGAATTCTCTGGTGAAACTTTCTAGGCCTGTATTTTCTTTGTGAGATAATTTTTAATGGCTGATTCGTTCTCTTTAAAGACTAAAGAACCATTCAGATTTAGTTCTCTCTTAAAAAAAGATTTAGTTTCTTCTTGTTAGATGTCGTCATCCGTATTTTTCTTGAACTTTGTCACTTTTGCCTAGATTTTCAAATTTATTAGCATAAAATTATTTTATGATAGTTTCATGTTATTTCAATCTCGATGGCATCTGTGGTCATGACCGCTTTTAATACTTAGTGTTGCTCAATGTTTTCAGTCTTTTTCTTCGATCAGCCTCGCCGGAATCCTGCCAGGAGCCGCTCTGGCTGCCTTGAGCTCTGTGCGTCCTTGCCCATCTCCTGATGCAGTGAGTGGGTGCTGAGCGCGATGGTTTGTTCACATGGCTTGTCGATGCCAAGCCTCTCCTTTTTAATATGAACATTTAAGGCCCTGAATTTTCCTCTCTGGCTGTGTCCCACGTACTTGCACGTGGTGTTTTAGTTGTTCGAGGCGTACTTTCCAGTTTTAATCGTGTGTTTTTCCTTGACACACCAGCGTGCAGACGTGTGATTTTAAATTTCCAAATTGAGGGAGCAGTTAGTTTCAATATTAGGAGTTAGTTTTTTCTTTGTTGGAGATCTCTAAGCTAAGGATTCTGATGTCAGAGAATATCATGGTTTCATCTCTGTTGAAACTTGCTTTGCAAGTGACATGTGGTGAGTTTTCTGAAATGCTGCTTTGCATGAAAAGCTTTTGCCTCGATTGTGACCAGGGTCCACGCGCCCCGGGCCAGGCCTGTGCGCCCGCTCTGTCTGCCCGTCCGCTCCGTCTGTCCGCCTGCCCGTCTGCGTGCTTTTCTGGCTGTCACGGGGAGGCGATCACAGGCCTCCCTTGGCCGCGTCTCGGGTGCTTTCTTTGTCTCCAGCCCTGTGGTCCCCGTGATGTCTCTCCTGGTGGACTTTTTTTTTTGCCTTTTCCCCCGACTGAGAGCTTTACCCGGTCCTGGGAAACTCTCAGCCATCAGCCCTCCCTGTGTGCCCCTTTCTCTCCTTCAGGAGCCCGTGTTGGGCCTGCGTTAGGCCTTCTGCTCCCCGAGTCTGTTACCTTCTCCTGCCCAGTTCCCGCGGCCGATTCTCTGTGGTGGCCGGGACTGTCTTCCGCTCCCCTCCCCCTGCTGCATCTGCGGTGTCTGAGCTCGCGGAGACCTGTGTCTGCTGCGTGTTACTGGAGCTGCTCTTCCCTCCCAGAACCTCCCTGTGATGCTGTTACTAAGTCGGAGAAGGCAGCTACCAAGCTCCGGAGCCGTGTCATTCCAGGCGGCGGGGCGGGGGCGGAGCCCCCAACTGGGTCTGTGTGGGTGGCAGGTCTAGTGAACAGGGTGGGAGGTTGGGGCTAGGGTCCCACGGACGGGTCCTCATTAGCCCTCCCGGGGCCGACTGACAGCACATCCCGCTTCCTGCACAAGGATTCAGGGTTTCTTTCTGTATTTGGTGTCTGTTTTGTCCACATTTGACAAGTGTTGGTTCAGGAGCATAAAGGACTGTCAGTTTGCTGTCTGTCCAGCCATCCGTTGTGAGGAATAAAACTCTTTTAGTTCGACTGAACCTGGGAATCCAGGCTCACTTGCACAGGTGTTCTGATTATAGTTTGGTGAGTTCATGTCCACAGAGACGGCTCCGTTAAATGTACTCTTTCTGTCATTTTTGAAAAAAATAACGGGGCTTTTTTCTGTTATTTTTTTCTTTCTCAGAGACTTATTTCTCAAACAGCATTCTTACCAGAAAGTTTTGGAAATAGTAAAGTAGGAAATTTAAATTGGAAACGTTAAAATAAGTCAGAATAATGATTTTACTTTTCTTCAACTACTTTGCGTGAGCTGAGACCCCATGTAGAAACCGGGAGGTGGGGCACTCGCCAGCGGGCGTCTTGTTCCAGGACGTGCGCGCGTGGCCGCCTGCCGTGACGCAGGTGGCAGTGATGTTGGAGCACTTGGCTCGCGCTTTGCCTCCAAGGAGGACATGGTGGTCTCATGAGTGTCCGTGCGCCTGCCCGGCCCCGGCTGCTCCGGGCCAGGTGCACCGTAGCAGCGGCTTGCTGGTTCTGCCAGCACGTCTGTGTCTGAAGGCACAGTTATTGAATTAGCACGTTTTCCCCCACGGTTCACTGGAGACAGGCAGCGGGCACCCCTCTCACCACTGTTCGATTTCTGTCAGCACAGGTTAGTTTTGCCTATTCTTGAACTTCAAGGAAAGTGGAACCCAATTTTGTTGCCTTTGTGTCTGGCTGCTTTTGCTCTGACCTAATAATTTTTGAGATTCATCCAAATTGTGTGTCTGTCAGTAACTTACGTCTTTTCTCGCTGAATTCGGGCAGCAGAGTTGGCGGGGTTACCCTTGGCAGTGGGCGTCGGGCTGCTCCCCGTCTTGGTGGTTATGAATGTGGGTGCAGGGGACGTGGCCACTGCTCTCGGTGGGCTTTGTACTCCTGTGTGTGTTCCTGGGCGCAGGATTGCCGGTCATGGAACAGGTTGACAGAAACCAAGCCGTTTTCCCAAATGGGCGTCTCATTTAGCGCAGCCAGCAGCGCAGCCGTGTCCTGGCGCCCCACCTGCTCACTGACACACCACGTTCCTTCTTACTCGAGCCCACCTCATAGCTCTGCTGGCTTCCCCGGATAAGCGTGATGTTAAGCGTCTTCCTTGCACGTATGGGTGTGCGTGTTCAGGCGCCTCCTCCCCGAGGCGCCCTTCAGAGTGCGTGCTCGCTGACTGCTGGCTGCTTGCCTTCCTGTTAGTGACGCCGGGAGCCGTGTGGCTGCAGGGACATGGACGCCCCGTTCTCTCAGTCCGTGGCTCGCTGCTTGCTTCCCAGTGGTGACTCTGGGTAGGAAGTTTAAACTGTGGTGGGATCCGGTTTATCGCCTTTTGTGAATGTTTGGTGTCCCCAGTGCCCTGCAGAATCTCTGCCTGCCCCAGTGTCCCGGGTCTCCTTCTCCCGGAGGCTCTGTGGCTTGAGCTGCTGTCTTTAGGTTGACGCCTGTCTCCGTGGCCTCTGACGTGGTGTGAACTACTATGGTTCTGTTATGCTGGGTTTACCGCGTGTGCTGAACAGAAGCTGTCCTCCTCCTCTGGTCCTTCATCTGGCTGCGCTGCGTGGCCGAGGCCCCTGGTGCAGTCTTGGGAGCAGGCTTCGGGGACCCTTGTCCGGCCCTGGTTTTCCGTCTGCTGAGACAACCCCGCTTCTTCGCTTGTTCATAGACCCGGTTGGCCAGTAGCTTGCTGGGTCTCTCGTGTCTCGGTTCACAAGGGCTCCTGGTCTGGAATTTGCTCTTCTCACAGTGTGCTTGCCAGTTTTGACATCGGGGTTTTTCTGGCTTCATTAAACAAAATAGGAAGTGTTCTCAGGCTGTGCTCTGTGAAAAAGCCTGTGTGTGATGTGATTTCCTCCGCTGGTGCTCGGTGGGAGGCGCCAGCGAGGCCATCTGGCCCTGGGGTCTCCGGCGTGTGGAGGCGTTTTAAGCGATGGACTCGGGAGTCCCGTGCACGGAGGGCTGCTTGTCTTTCCAGAAAGCTGATTTTTTAGGAGTTTGTCCGTTTCCTCTGTGTTGTCAGACTTACTGACACAAGCTGTAACGACCCTCCAGAACCCTGCTTTGGGCGTCGATGACTTTAAAGACGTGCCTGGTTTCTGCCCTTGCCTTCGTTCTCCTTCCACTTTGTCTGAGTTGAGTTTTCTCTTCTTCTCGCCGGGCGTTAACGTGAAGCCTCTCTTCTCTGCACCCTCCTCCTCCCCGGCAGGTGCAGGCGTGCGGCGCGGCCGCGCTCTGCGCGCCGCGCCTCCGGTCAACAGGCTTCCTCACTGGGGACGCCTCTTCTCTTCGAAGAGTCGCTCCTGTGCCCCCGTTCCCAGTCGCTCATCATCTGTCCGGCTTCTGTCTCTAAACACTCCAGGAGTAGGGTGGAGGGGCCGGGTCCCCGCCCCTGTTCCCTCCTCAGTCTGGGGCTCGCTGGGCTCGGCCAGTGGCGTGGAGTCCTGGGTCTTGGCCTCTGGGGGACGTTCCTGTCGAGGTGTCAGGTCCCAGCACTGCAGCTGCGAAGCCTGGTGTGGATGGTAAATTATCTCTCTGGTCCAGAAGCTTAAATAGTTTCCTCCTTCTCTTTATTGTTTAGAAATTAGGAACCTCGGTGGCCTTTGCCTGGGTGTGTGCGGTCCAGCCCTGCACTCAGAAGGCGCTTTCAGGCCACAGACTTGAAATCCAGCTATGTTTTCCTCCGGTTCAGTTCCTACCTCGTCTCTAATTGCTTACCTGCCTCCACCTGAACTTTCCTTGCCTTTCCTCTGGTGTCTTTGCTCCTGGCGCGCTGCTGGCGGACATGCTGCGCTTCCTGCGATGGCCTCCGGGGGCTGTTCCCAGCCCGTGAGACGGCTGTGCTTGACTGGCTTCTGTTACCGAAAGTGAGATAAAACTCGTGCCTTTGTGTAGGAAAAGTGACAAGTGCTTTTAAAATGTACTGAGGTTTCTACGTAACGTTGTTTTGCTTCTCCTTCGCCTGCTGGTCGGTGGCTCGTGATTGTTCGTGTTTCTGATTGTAGGTCAGCATGGCCTCGCTGAAAGAGTTGGACCAGCGACTCTTTGAGAGCTACATCGAGCTGAAGGCAGACCCCATCGTCGGCTCCCTGGAGCCAGGCATTTACGCCGGCTACTTCGACTGGAAGGACTGCCTGCCGCCCACAGGTATGGCCCGGCGCCGACGCAGCCCGGGTGCCGGCGCGGCTTCGCTTCACCCATCATTCTGGAGGTGCCCCTCCTTTTGCTCCCATTTTTCTCATACTTACTGAGGGATTAGTTTGATTTTAACTTTTTATCAGCATAAACCCATTTTTTGACAGTTTGGGATTTAGCAGACTTTCGGCTTAAAGATATTCTTCAGTCCCAGAGAACAAGCACTTACACCTCACGGCGTTCAACCCTCTCAGTGACTGACCCTTGCTTCTGGGACACTCCTTTCCTGCCCAGAGGGGTAGACTGCGAGTGACAGTCCCAAAATGCACTTAGGACACAGGTCACGGCCACATGAGACCGACTGCTGATGCTGAGGGGTGAGGGGCTCGAGGAGACGTCCGGGCTGAGGCCGCTGTGCAGACTCAGCAGAGGGCGGTGGACGAGGAAGGTGACTGCCGCCCCGGGCTTGTCGCTGACGTCAGCAGAAGTCACGCGCACCACTTGACCATTTGCATTTTAGGGGTAACTGTTGCTTGCTGAGTGCAGTGAGAGTTTTGGTTGATCGAGTAGCTGTTCTGTGTGAAGCAGTGTGGAGTGCACGGAGTCAGGCCGCTGCTGGTGCTTGTGTGCGGCTGCAGGCTGACGCAGAAACGGCCCTGTCCGCGCGGGGTGTCGGTTCTCTGGGTTTTGTGAGTCTGGGTTCCCGTGAGCTGTCGCCGGGTTGAGTTAACCTTCACGCTCTTACCTCGTCACCTGCATCACTCACTGTCCGTTTTGTTGTGGGGTGTGTTTAGTAAGTGTGCTCTTCAGACGCCGCTGGTTTCTATTCCCTGTTCAACGTTGGGGGCAGCAATGCTGTGATGCCCGGGTTTTAAGCTGAAAACCAGAACCATCAACTTGATAATACGCATGTGGCTGCAGCTGTTTAACTCCTGGGATTGCCGTCCTGGTGGGCATGTGAGGGCGAATGCCCCTGGCCAGAACCGTTACTTGGCACACAGGCTTTCCCGGTTCCAAACCAGATTACAGTTCACATCCCAGATGTATTCTTTTACAGTTTAAGTCTGATCCTGTCAGTAACTTGTGGTATCGTCTCGTTAACTTAAACAGAAATCTGCAAAGCGGCCAGTGTGCCCCTGCGGGCCCCTCACCCCTGCAGCCTCTCCGGCACACGGAGGGGTTTGTGGCCCAGCCTTCCCGCACCCTCCCAGGGGCCCGTTCCGACCACCTTGCCTTTGCGTAAACAGTAATTCTCCCCGGCCTTGCGAGGCCCACCCCCACACCCTTTTCTCCTCAGGCCTCCACTGAGTGTCAGGACGCCAGCCGGGGGGGGGACTTGGCCAGTGGGGAGCAGGCCTGGTGTTCCGGGGCTAACCTGTGAGCCCTTCGCACATTCTCTGTGTGAGACGGTTACTCACAAGGAGGGTGCTGTGCGGTGGTTTCGGCACCAGCCGCTACGTTGGTTGAGCTCCTTCAAGCCAAACCCTGACGGCGTGTTTAGTGGCCAGCTTCCAGGGAGACTGAAGAGACGCCCCCTCTGTGTGAGCAGCAAGTGTGACTCCACATGAACAAACGTGACTTTCAGCCATAAATGACTGTCCTCAAGGTCATCTGCCAGTGGCCTCTGGGGCTTCTGATCTACAGTCTCTTGAAACGCTTGGGCCCAGAGGCTTGGAGTCTCTGTGTTCGGTGTGTTGCATCCCCAGCAGGGCTTCCTGCAGAGAGCAGGTGACTGCTCGAGGAGGTTGGGGGTGGCAGTATCCATATCAGTTCAGGTGGGAGATGCCCCCGCAGAAGTTTATCGCAACTTTTCAGATTCACAGAGACTCTTGTCTCCTGGACTCTGTGTCTGCATTGTCTGGACTCCTGCGAGGTGCCCGGTGCCTGGTCAGTGGGTGTTTGTTCAGTGGCTGGGACCCTGCTGCTCCCATGGGGCTGCTCTGCTCGGGGCCCATCCAGGAGGAGTGCCTTCCCGTGAAGGTCCCACACTGGGAGGGCCGTTTTCAGGTTCTCTGAGCCCCATCGCACCTTTTCGGCTCCTGTAACTCCCCTGTGTGCGGACGGAAGAGGTCTATTCTTGTATGTGTTTTAGTTCCCTGTTTTGGGAGAACTTTCAAACAAAGATGTGAGAAAACTCCTTTCTCATTCCCAGACTTTGGGTCGTGTAAGTTTTTTGTAGAACAGTGACTGAAAGGTTCAGAATTACAAGGCGCAGATTGCGGAATTGTTTTTGAGTAAAATCTCCCTATTTTCTGCCTAAGGGAACAAGTCACAAAACTCAGCTGTCGTCTGTGCGGGGCTCCCGGCTCTGCGGACCCGCCTGGTTTCTGCTTCCCCTTGAGGGGCCCCCTCCTGCCCTGGGGCCGGAGCTGGAGGGGGCAGCCCCAACCCTGTCCCCTCCGGTGAATTACCTCACCACACTCTGGTGCAAACGGTTTACCAGTCCTGAACTCGCAAATAAAGGAGCCGTTACACGGCAGGCTCTGCACACACGCGTGCGCGGGCACGTCCTAAGTACTAACTCCCTGCAGACGCTTCAGTCACTTGTGTGCCCATCACGTCTGTGTCTGGCATAGAATCAGCACCTCGTGCTCGCTCCCGTCTTCTGAACCCCGCATTCTTGAAGGACCCAGTGGCTGGCACCTGTCAGGGGTTGGCGGGGGGGCCCTGGGGCAGCAGCTCTGGTCACTCTGCTGTTGTCGCAGGCCCCGCCCTCTTCTCTTTGCAGCCCGGCCCCTCAGACGGGCGTCTGGGTTGTTCCCAGGCTTTGTGTGGCCCCCGTCCTCCCTGCCTGCCCTGAGACCCCCAGTGTCCACGTCCGGCGCCAGTGGGGGCCCGTGGACTGCTCCCTTTCTCGCTCTGTGTCTCGAGCAGCCCGTGGCTGGGCCCTCTGCCTGAGAGGTCTGATCCTCCCGTGGCACCTCCGGTCCCAGGCTGGCCGGTGGCCCTCCCGTCCTCTGTGGGTTCGCCCTCCCCGCTGCCCTGTGCTGCTGGCCCCGAGCTGTGTGCCTCAAGGCCGCTGGTGTTTCTGCCAGTCCTTCCTCAGGTGGAGTGAGTTCTGCACTCAGTGAGCTCCCGGTCTTCCTGCTGCTGCACTCACAGGCTCTCCTCCCTCGTCCTGTCAGTCACGTCGGCCCTCGTGCTGTGCCTCCAGGGTGAACGCAGGCCCCCTGCTCTGGCCCCGGCCCCAGTCCTTTGGGGACGCCCTGCGTGGCCTGGCCCCAGCCCCTGCCTGCTGGGAGAGCCCGTCTTCCTGAAGTACGACTTGGACCTGCCGCTCCCCTGCTGAAGCCCCTCCTCCCTCGGGCGGAAGCCTGCACCTGACAGGGCTGCCCGCGCTGGCCGTGTCCTGTGTGTGTTCCGCGCTGGCGGGGGGCGAGGCCGTTCCGTTTACAGCCTAGTGAACGTGCGGGTCGCGCCTCAGTTTATCTTCCGAGAGTTCGGCCTGTGGTCTTGTGGTGATTTTTCTCAGTTTCTCTTCGAAGAGGAAAGTCGGTCATACGACGTTCTTGTTCACGTTTTAGCAAACAGGACACAGCAGATGCTCGCATTTGTTGAACTGAACTGAAACGAGCGTGGTAGCGCTTGCGTTCTGTGGAAGCTCCGTGCAGCTGCGCTTGAATTAAAATGGGAGTGGCAGGGACAGCAGACACGTGTGCAGGCCTGCGGCGTCACCGTCCACAGAGTAACGTGCTCTTCAGGGCAGCGCAGGTGAACTCTGCTGAACCCCTGTGCGGAGTCCCAGGATGGCAGCGCCGGGTCCTGGGGGCTGGGGTCCCACTGCCCGCGGCCAGGTGCCCGCCTCGAGTGCCCCAGCGTCCCTCCTCTGACGTCATGTGGTGAGGGGTACTGGGTGGGGTAGCGGCCACTTGGCAGCTTCTCATTCACAGCAGACTCTGCTGCCATGAGGCCCGTTGCTTGGGATGAGCCCCTCCTGAGCAGGCGGCACCACGGCCAGCGGTGCGCCTGCTGCTCCTCTGGTCCCACAGCCTCGTGGAGGCTGTCGGGGTCGGTCTCGCTTCCATCAGCTGCGTTTTGCTCCGTTCTTTGTGTAGTCTGACTGCATGATCCTAACGGAACCTCAGTCTCAAACAGTCATACAGTGATTTTTAGTTTGCTCAAAGTTGACTGAAGTCGAGACCTTGTGCAAGGTGAACCGTCAAAATAGTTTGACTTTAATCTTCCAGAATAATTTCAATTAACAGCTTAAGTATGATCTTTAGAATTTTCATCTCTGAAACTGAATTTTGCAAATCATGTAAGTAACTGATTATTTGCTGCTGTAATTAGCAGTGAATTTAGTTTCTGATACTGTATGTAGTCATTTAAAAAACTCCAGTTGATTAATTTCACGATTCAAGAAGAGATATTCGTTGAAGCCATCGCTGTGCTGTGCTTTTCTAACCTGACAGTTGGATATTTACACTGTTGTCACCTCTGCATGTGTGTGTGTGTGTCAGGAAGGTTATTCTGGTTAGTTCTGAGTCAGTTAACTGCCTGTGCAGTTGTTCTGTTAGCCACCGTTACTAAGAGCTCTGAGTACTTGCGTTTGATCTTCTTTAGCTGAATTGAAAATATTTTTAGTCTCCATGTACAAATACACATGGAAGTCCACATCCTTAAGACATATTAAATTTTTGCATAAATACTGGTTTTAACTATTTTTTCTGTCTAAAAACAGATTTGCTTGTATTCCTTAAAGATACTTAATATGTGAATTTAAAATTAACTTTCTATAGGCGAAGTACCTTGCTGATTTGTAACTCAAAGTGCTTCTGTATTTTCTGTAGTCATCGCGGTTCCAGGGAAGGGAGGACGTGTGTCCCTGACGCGGCAGCAGGACGGGCAGTGCTCACGGGCGCCGCGTGTGGTCCAGGGCGAGCGACACCACAGCGGTGCCCGTGCTGTCCGGCCCCGCCGCGTGGCGCTCAGCTTCGGCCACAGGCAGGGGTCGCAGATTCCCACGACTCAGAGGAAGGAGGCATGAGACAGGCCAGCGCAGGGCGCCTGGC